TTGGACAAAAAACATATTGAATTGATTATGTTAATTTTTCATTCCAGGTTTACATCCAATCCTGACAAGGTGAATAATAAGTATTATCTTGAGTCTACTCCGTTGTAAAAGATATTCTGGTAAGGACTTTGGTTCCATTTTTCCAAGATACAACTACCAATGCACTAAATTTTATATCCCTTTTGCAAGCAAATTGGGACACCTCAATGTTCATGGTCCTGCAGGGACAATAGAGGATACAATTTCAAAATGTATATAAGGCTATGTATTATTTATGTCTAAAATGTTTGATTACAGATTGTCTTGTGCACTTAATATATTGTAATAGAAGTAATTAATTAAGCTTATATGTACATAGCTATTGGATATTGTCTGTTTAAACATTAGTATGTATTAGTGTTGATTTTATCTGGCTTGATGTAAGAATAAATCAATATTGTTTAAAGGTAGCATATGAGCTTAACCTTTTTGGATATGTACATGAAAAGTTTTTCCAAAAGATATCATGTTCTACCAAGTTAGTACAAAGACATTCGGTTGTATGCAGTTGAACACTGTAATTTATGTTGTTATTACCATAAAAAAAAAAAACAAAATCAACCATGTTGACCCTGTGGTTAGCATGGGTCATAACTAATTTAGATATGTTATTTTTAAATATCAGATATCGTACTAGCAAATATTAAAAAAATGCATATCATATACCATATAAAATAATACAATACTAAAACCACGAAACTATAATTTTCTATATGTAATGATAATTGAAAAAAAAAAGTTAATATATCGAAATGAATTGAATTAGTAAATAAAAAATAAAATAAACGCATTATATTTTCATAAGCTAATTTTAGTTCCAATAGTCAAAACATGATCAAATTTTGTAAAGAAAAATAAGTTTAGGATGTAAATAAAGTCAAACCACGTATCTTTACTCTGAGATTAGGTGAATTCATTGGGAAAATCCATGTAATACATTATTAGAATGAGCTATTTAATCAAAATTACGCATTACTAAAATCATCAATTTAATTTTAAAATATCACTCAAGTCACTTTTTTAAAAAAAATTGTCTTACATTCAAAATCATAGCTTATTTCAATCCGAAAAACACTTCAATATCATCCAAATTGTTTCACCACAAAATCCATTTCAATCGTTTCAAAAAATTACTCTACAAAGTTGAACGAATAAAATAATACTTATAATATTACAATCTTAGACTAATTCAAAGTTATGGTGACAAAAATCAAACTCGAGCTCTAGATCAAAATTTAAAAATCACATTTTCAAGTTACCTATAACCCTATGAGTCCAAATCTATCACAAGATATCAAAATTGACTATGAATCAACACCCAAATCGTCAAGTTTTCACTCTCTTAAAAGTACTAGAGGCAAAAACTTTCAGTTTCTACTCCACAGTTCTATAGATTAGTTGTTAAATCAGATGGATAATTACTATACTTAATTAATATAGCATTCGACTAACTTATTCGATCTTTATAGATGAAAACTCTGATAGGCCGAAAAAAATAATTTTTAATTTGAAAAATAAAAAAAAATTAAATAACTTTAAGTCAAATAATATAAAAAGTAGAGGATCCTACTTTTAATTTTTAACTTTTTTAGGTCATATGAACTTATTTATAAGTTATCTTTAATTTTGCTAATCAGACTCAAAAACTAAAATAACTTTAAAAAATTAGCCAACCCAAATAGGGTCTTACTTCTTAGAATTAAGCTATATCGCTTGCTGCTAAACCTCAATAGTGGTAGAAACATGTGCTTAATGCACTGCGCTTGTACTAATTTATTTATTTATTGCACAACTAGATCTGATTTTTGTCACTCAATGGTCACTCAATTTTAAATTTTTGTCTCAGAAAGTCGTTAGAAAGGTTCAATCGTATTAATGATCTAAAATAAAAAATTAAAAAGGATCTTAAACTTAAATTGTAGATAACTTTTATATAAATAATTTCTTCTAGTTTTCATCTGATCGTATAATCATTTTTATTTTAAATTATTTTTCATGAGATATAGTATTCAAAATATGTCAAATTTCTTCTAATAATCCCTTCTTTTTTTCATGAAATATTTACTTTTTCTACAAATGCTATTTAATATTTATTAAAGAATAATAACTCATAACCTATTATTATTAAAAATGAGGCCCCTTAAATTTGGGGCGTAAGACACACATTTTTTTTAACACTATCGAGTCAGCCCTAAAAGTCACTCAACTATGATTTTTATCTCAAAAAGTCACTCAACTATAATTTTTAACCCAAAAATCACTCAAATATGTGATTTTCTCTCCGAAAGAGACTATGAAAATTTTACTTACAAAATCCCTCAATCTACTCGATTTTTTTCTTAAAATTGTAAAAAGTAAAAGATATCTATTTAAATCATATGATGACTTGGAATAAAAGTATTACATTGATTTGTAATTACTTTTGTTATATCAGTTGATGGGAGGAGTAAAAGTGAGGCAAATGAATCGAAGTTATCCACTAACCCTGGAGGCAAAAACAATTAGATTGGGGATATAGAACTAATGAATTCTGACTAGACATTTGGATCTTTGGCCAAATAGTGTTAACGAGGGGTACTGTCTAATTGAGAATAAATAATAGTTATTATTATTAATTGAGATAACAACATAATTGAGTAACTATAAATTGAGATAACAACATAATTGAGTAACTATAAATCAATGTTATACTTTTAGTTGGTCAAGTTATTAAAATTGTTATTTTTTATTTTTTTAAAGTTTGGATTTTAATGAAATTTCAAACTGGCAAATTTTAATTAAAAATAATTAAGTAAAATTGAATGACTTTGTAAATAGTTGAGTGATTTTCGGAGAGAAAAACTCATAGTTGACTGACTTTTTGAGATAAAAACTCATAGTTAAATGACTTTCTGAGAAAAAAATTGATAGTTAAGTGATCATCTATGATACAAAATTATCCAAAATTATTCAAATAAGTCTTAAATGAAGCTTACAAGTAAGCACAAAATAAGCATTTGGAACTAAAAATATAAGGAATTAAAATATTACAGTTCAAGCATGCTGAATTAGTCTAGGTACATTAGCGGATTTTTACAATGTATACTTAAATGAAAAATAATTTGGATTAATACCTTTTAATAAATGATTACTGATTCTAGTAATACTTTTTATTTATCACCATTTATAGCAATACATAACAATATTATGTTAAATATGCAATATGTTTAAAATAAATTATGTATGTAATAACTATGTGTTATAACCATTTTAAAAATATATTATTTTTATTTGGTAAAATTGACACATTATATTATAAGTATATTAAATTGTGTAATAAATGTATTATATATCAATAAAACTTGTATTATATGTGAATTATAAATTGTTCTTGATAATGTATTAAAACTGTATTATAATTATATCAAAGATGTTCGAGTGAAAAAAAAAATGTTATTGTTATAAAATGTAAATATTTTTTTAATATAATATATTTACGTAAGTTTTCCAATATATAATAACAAATATAAGCCAAATAGAAAAACTGACGTTTCAGGGTTGGTCGAGGGGTTTAAAGAAATCGTCATACTGGCTGCTATCAAGAAATTAATATTATCTTATTATAATCAGATATAATTTTCCTAGATAGTCACCCATGTTTGAAAAATTACCTAGAAATATCACTTATGTTTGTTTTAGTACTACAATATCACCCAACTTTACCTATTTTCCTCAAACTATACTTGACACAAAAAATACATTATCTCTCTCCTATAAGAATGTCATGTCACATTCTTTATTTTTTTTTATTGTTAAAAAAAAATATGCTTTAAACCTATTTATATGTTAGGTTGCAATATGTTTTTTTTAAATATTGTTTTCTATTTATGCTTTTTGAAAATGTTTTTTTTAGATATATAAAAATAAATTTTTGAAATGAATAAAAAAAGTATCCCTTTTTCTACAACTAACTACTAATGGACTGTTTAACTATTTTTTAATGATAATTATTATTTTTTACTATAAGTTTTAAATTAATTTTTTAAATAATAATTATAGTTTTTTTATGGTACACTTTTTCTTCTCCTATTTAGATAGATATTTCTACATTCTATTTTGTTGGAGCATTCCCTAAAATCATTGAAGTGTGATAAATATAAATAGACATTACAGTTTTTTTTCTAATATAATTCAATTTTCAGTTTTGAGTTTTTAACCTTAAAAATTGAAATTTGAAGCATTTAAAGATCTTTCATTTTTTTCCCGTAATAGCCACTACTGCTTTTATAAAAAAAATAGTTCAATTTCATTTTTTTTCCTTTAAAATTGAATTTAAAGGCATTTAAAAACCATTCATTTTTTGTCGTTACAGTTTTTTTTAACAAAATAACTTTTATTTTCTATTCAATATAGCTATATAAAAATTCCTATTTTTAATTGTATTTTTAGAGCATATTTAAAATGTTTTTTGAAAAATCAAAATTGTTGAATATTTGTGGTACTGATATGTGATATTTTTACTTCTCTTCTTATATATAGATAGATTTTTTAAAAAACATAGACAAACCCACATATTATATCCAGTAAAAAAAATTACATTTAGAAATGTAATATGAGCTCCTCCGATTCTTCAAGAAAATATGTGGGTTCCTCCGATTCTTTACAAGAATTAGAAAAATATTAATGATGAATTTAAAAATGTGACATGACACCCTAGTAGGAGAGAAATGATATATTTTTTTGTGTCAAGTATATTTTGAGAAAAATAGGCAAAGTTGTGTGATATTGTAATAATAAAACAAACATAAGTAATATTCCTAGGTAATTTCCCAAACATGAATCTAAGGAAATTACTCAGTTTGATTATATTGATATTTTTACCAAAATAATTTATTATTTAAATCAATTTACAACAGTAATATATTTTTTCAAAATTTTACAAAACTAGTATAAACGTTGTTGACAGTAACGTATTAGGCCATCTATTAATTCTGCCAAGAAACAGACCAAAACTAACGGGGGACGGCGTTAAAGTTATAATACGTTACTAGAAATAACGTTTTAGAGTTTAAGTTGGAATACGTTACTGAAAGTAACGTTTTAGAGTTTAAGTTGGAATACGTTACTGAAAGTAACGTTTTAGAGTTTAAGTTAGAATACGTTACTGAAAGTAACGTTTTAGAGTTTAAGTTGGAATACGTTACTGAAAGTAACGTTTTAGAGTTTAAGTCGAAATACGTTACAGATGGTAACGTTTTAGAATTATTATCTTATAACCCATTAGCCGCACTTTCCTCACCTTCTAACCTAAATAAACCCTATTTCATATTTTTCCCCTTTTTTCATTCCCTCGCTAAGAGCTGGTTCTCGTCGTTAATGTTGCCGAAAAAGGGGATTCACAGTATTTCAGCGCCATAAGTATTTCGAGAGGTAGTTTCTTTGCTTAAGGTATGTTTTTCTTTACGAAGGAATTGAATTGAATCGTAAGTAGGATTCTATCTTGTATAAATTGAAGAACGTGCCAACCAACTCATGAAATTGGATTCCAAAATAAGTATAATTATATTAATCCTGAAAAAAAGAACTATAAAGCCTTCAGATTTGGAACCATTTATGAGTGTGTGACCATAGGAGCATAGACAAATGAGGAATGTCTTTATACAGATTTCAGAATATAAGAATTAATTTCCAATACCCAAAAATAGAAAAAATGTATTCACTCTTTTAATTTTCTTAATCTACAATCCTCAAATAATAAATTAGCTATCAGATCTTGACCATATGCTTAGAAAGAATGAATTTTTTTGCTAGTCTTATGGTCATTAAAGATTTGAAACACTTTTTTTTTTAATTTTTCTAAAAGAGTGAGAGAAGGGGGTTTTGTGGTTTTGTTGGGGAGGAAAGAGTCTTTAGATTTCTGTTGTGATTTGTTTTTTTTTTAAGTCCCAAATATATTGCTAGTCTTATGGTTATTAAAGATTGAATTTTTCATAAAGGATTCTTGAAATTTTGTACATTTAATATCTGGTTTGTCTTAGTGAGTGAGTGAGTGATTACATTGATATGGGAATTGAAAGAGTCTCCTTTTATTGTGGGTCTGATCATTTACTTCCCAAAAACCATAAGTATTTCGAGAGGTAGTTTCTTTGCTTAAGGTATGTTTTTCTTTACGAAGGAATTGAATTGAATCGTAAGTAGGATTCTACCTTGTATAAATTGAAGAACGTGCCAACCAACTCATGAAATTGGATTCCAAAATAAGTTGTTATCTGGTAACTTGTTTTGTTTAGTTCGATTTAAGGATTATTTCATGGTCACTGAACTCAGAATTGTTATTTAAAGTTGTAACAATTGTATATTGTTGAAGAAGATTGCGTAGCAGTGCATTGAGAGAATAGCTATAGTCATTGTTACATTGTCTTTTAGATTAGTATATGTTTGTTAGTTAGTTACATAACATAATTAATTTGTTAGCCTAAATTGCTTAACTCATTAGTTGGTTAACTTTGATTATTGTAATTAGCACTTTAGTCATTTATATAAATAGCCTACTGTACAGATGTAAACATATAATGAAACTATCTAATAATGATAATCTATATTCTTCTCTGTGATTCCTTAAATTTGTCTCATCTATTCAAACAATTCTCTGTAAATTTTGATTCTTAACATATATCAACAAAAAGATTATACTCAAGTTCTATTGTTGCTTAGTGTAGTCTAAGATGGTTTGTCTTATACAACACACTTCCAAATTAAAGAGAATGACCTTAAAATTTTTAAATGTGATTTCATAACTTTACATCACTTTTGAAGTATGTCGCCAAGAAAAAACTACATAATAGTTCGGGCTAACATTTAAGTTTACTTTCATGTGTATTTCATAGGTATTTTTTATGGCTAATGATAGTGAATACAAGTTGGATCCCGGTCCATTGGAATCGAATGTATTAACGGGACAACTTACTCATAGATCACAAGATATATGGGAAGGAAATGTTAATATGATTCTTAATACGAGGAGAGAAGATGGAAATTTTTGGAAGCTCATAGAGAAATATCCCATCCATCCACGAGTTCTTGAAGTAATTAGGTTATCTGGATTATATGGTGTTTACAAATCTAATCGGCCTGCTATTGACCGTAGTTTGATCACTGCACTAGTTGAGCGTTGGCGTCCCGAAACTCACACTTTTCACTTTAGAACAGGCGAAGCAACAATTACCTTGCAGGACGTAGAGGTGTTGTATGGATTACCTGTGAATGGTGATCCAGTACTTGGTAATGAAATGATAAGGACCATAGAGGATTGGCAAAACATTTGTCAAAGATTATTAGGTTTTGTTCCTTCTCTTGAAGACTTCAAAACAAATTCCATCAAGGTCGCTGCATTTAATTCACACGTGTTAAGCCAGCCACATTTGTCGAACATGGCAACACAAGATATGGTTAATCAGAAGGCAAGATGTTTCATGTTCTGGATGATTGCAGGTATGATGATGGCGGATACATCTAGTGGTTATTTGAAGCTTATGTACCTGCCTATGCTCGAAGACGTCAATAAAATTGGATCTTATAGTTGGGGGAGTGCGACCTTGGCATACTTGTATCATTTTCTTTGTAAAGCTTCACAGAGTACCCAAAATGAGATAGCCGGATTTTTGCCACTACTTCAGGTATACCTAATGATTGTACATATAATTTATTTATATTTCTTTCAATTTGTCTCTGTAGTGTTATTGGAGGATGAAATTTTTTAGAGATGTAATCCTAAAACTCTTTCTCAGATTTGGGCGTGGGAGAGAGTCACTGTTCTCCGTCCTCAAATAGTATCCCACAGAGATGCGAGAACTATTTGTCATGTTGGTTTGCCTAGGGGTCCGCATGCTACTAGATGGTTTGCACATCTTAGTTGGACGAATACTACCAAGCATGTGTTGAAAGTTTATAGGGATGCACTTGACTCTATGATAGAAGATCAGGTACATTGCTTTTACTTATTTATAAATATTGTAAATGTAAAGACTCACTTTGCTCATTTCTTTTTTCATGTAGTTTATTTGGGAACCGTATTCCGATGACTTAATTGAGAGTCTTCCTCTCTATTGTCATGCTGGACGAGACATATGGCGAGTTAGAGTTCCAATATTTTGTTGGGATGTGGTCGAGGTTCATTTGCCAGATCGTGTTATGAGGCAATTTGGACTACAACAAGCTATACCAACTCCGTTTCCATTTGATTCTAACCACTTTTGTCATGATCGTCGAGGAAGACCAAATACAAATTGGGAGTTAGAACATGCACATTGGTTATCATTTTGGAACCAACGTCTCCAATATAGTTGTGATGCACCGGTTAATAATGAACCACTTCGCTATGATGATCCATATCTTATTTAGTTCAGGCGCATTACTCGTCTTGTTATTGGTAATCCTAATTCACGTCCTCAAAATCAACAAGGTTATGTGCCTAATTCGACGGCATATGAAACTATGGTATGCCATTTATTGATTACTGTTGTTTAGTGTTGTTGCTGCCAAGTGATTTATGTGTCTTTATTGATTTTAGTGTGTCATTTATTTTGTTTAATGTATCATCAGATTAATGGTGCATCATTAAATAACTTCCACTTTAATTTATTTAGGTGCGGCATATTCATTCGATGGTTGATGAAGCTAAAACACTTGGTGATAATCCATCATATGAGGCCTTATACATGTTTAGAAAAATGGTGCGAGATCAAGGTTCTGATTGTTTGAAATATGTCCATGAGGCTGACAGGGTTCATGTGTCAGCCGATTATAGAAGAGATGTGGTACAACCTGTCCAGTTACATCACCCAGTTCGTAGGCGAGGAAAAGGTGGTGTTGCAGGTAGGAGAGAACGTGCTGTTGAAAGAGCACAAACACATGTTGAAATAGATCAGGCCACACAAAATGTCCAAGAAGCCTTAGAAGATGATCAAGCAACATCCAATTATAATATTGGTTCTATTTCAGGAGGTTGCACTCATGAAATCACTCAGGCATCAAATATGACATATCAACTGTCAGAAACAGATATCATGCCATACGTGACGCCACAGACTCTACAAATATCAAGTCATCCAAGTCTTTCATCACTTGAGAATGTCATTGGTAATTTTGAGAATGTCCCAAATTTTAACTCATCGCCTGTGCCTCTGATCATTGAAACCCCTGATGCCACTAATAGTTTAGAGGACCCGAATCATGATGTGGACGATAATGATCCAAAGGATGCAAGTGAAGGTCGTGATACGACTATTCAAAATAGTGAACCATCAAGGAGGGAGAAGCGTAAAATTAAACTTAAGCCTTGTGGGATTGGTACTTTAACATCTGACATTTTTTATTTAGTTTTACTCTCTTTTAGAATAATATAACATTTATATTTTCTTTACAGGCGGTCACTATGCTATCCAACATGTCCAAAAACAGAGAGCCAAGAATAAGTAATGAAAATTGATGTTGCTGAAATCTTTTGGTGTTGCTGAAAATTGGAGCTGCTGATATATTGTATGTATCTATAGGTGAATTTGCAAAGTTGAATGATGGAGCCATTGATGAAGATATGGAGCTTTGATCTTGTGGCATGGAGGGGTTTCTTGTTTTCAGCATTGATACTTAACTTTATATTCGCTTGCCAACTCTTTTTCCTTCAACCCCTTGTATCTGCTTTAGGTAAAGATCAAATTTTTATGATTATTTTTGTTTGATTCTGTGGTCCAGTTATGGCAATGACCTTCAATTTCATGGTTGCTGTTGGAATAATATTGGGAAACAAACTCGTATGGCTTTCGTTCCTACATTTTCTTTTTGGTACCACTGTCGCCTTTGCTAGACCCTCCAGGAGTGCTATCTTTCAAGTGGGACATCAACAATACGAGTGCTATTATCATCTCAGCCTTACTTGGTTTCCTCTTGCAATGGTCTGGAGCTTTAGCACTTGGGTAAGAGTCTTCTAATATGAGCTCCGGACTTGTTTGTTTGAAAATTCATTAAGAGGAACTGTAATTATTGATGCAGAGCTACATCAGCAACGTCACACGTTGTTTTAGGACAATTCAAGACTTGTGTGATCCTACTAGGAGGATATTTCCTGTTTAGCTCAGATCCAGGGTGGACGAGTATATGTGGTGCCGTTACAGCTCTTGGTGGAATGACAGTATACACATCCCAGAAAAGGCGAGTGATCAACTCCCAAAGCATAGTTTACCTCCTCAAAAACTCAAGAGTACTGAAGATGATGACAACTCCAGATACACACCTCCAGACCAAACTCCTGCTGTCGTCTAAGTTTACTCCTTTTTTTGTTGGTACATAAGTTAGATCTATTTTTTTACTGTGAAAACAGGGTTGTGGGAGAACAATACAAGTGTCGTGCTGCTAAACAAAGCAGCTTGTTGATCCACTTTAATTGATTATCATAATGTGTAAATTTCTGCATTGCAACACACCAGCATTATGTCTATTGTAAAAGATGCTCAAGGATTAGAAAGTTTGGTTGTTTAGCATAATGAGAATTGCAAAAGTTATCCAACTTAAATGATGTAATGATCGAGAGGTAATTTCTGAAAGACTTGCTACAAGAAAGAAGAGCAATAGCCATAACCAACCAATGCGATAACTTGTATCTGCTTTAGGTAAACATCAAATTTAGGCGACCGTTTGAAAGTTAAAAAAAATTAGAGCTGTTTGAAAGTTAAAAAAAATACATAATTAGAGCTGTTTGAAAGTAAAAGAAATACATAATTAGACTACCCACTTAAATTTGATTTCGAGTTGGACATCGACGCCTGTCATGCCCAGTTTGTTTACACAATCCACAAGCCCGCCCATATGTTGCAGTATCACGATCCATCTCATTATGAATTCTAGTGGTCCTTGATCGATTGGGACGTCGATAGAATTCATTACTTCTCATTATAAAGCTTGGTGATGGCCAATATGCCTCGTGTCCAATCGGTGAGAATGACCCAGAATATGTTGTAACATAATTCTCTATTGTGAAATGCTCGCTGACAAAATTTCTAGCTAATGCTCCCATTCTTTCAGTAACCTTCATGACATGTGAACACGGGAAGTGCAAATTAGCCCATTTTTCACAATCACATTTTTTTCACTTAATGAAATACAATGAGGATTACCACCAATACCATCAATTTGTATTGATCTAACCTCATATATCCCTGTGGATATATTCCAATCATAAACAAAGTGTCTTTTTGAATTTTCATAGTTTTTCTCCCACTTCTTTTTGAAACTGCTTGTCCATAATTCCTTTTGCTCAACAAGTTGGTGAGTTTTTTGACATCTACGAGTATATCGTTCAACGGTTTGCTCCAATGAAAGTCTAACCATAGCAGTGACGGGCAAGCCTTGAGCTTTCTTTAGAAGTCTGTTGAAAGACTCTGAAAGATTTGTTGTCAGTACTCCCCATCTTTTTCCATTATCATGACTAACAGTCCATTTGTCCAATGGAATTCACATGAGGTATTCATATGCTTCTCTATTTTCTTCTTGAATTTCCCACATCAAAGCTTCAAACTTCCTTACTTGATGAGTTGTAGCAGCCCTCCACATAAGATTACTGAGGTCCCTATTTGGAAATTGAGATTGAAAATTACTTTTAAGATGTCTCAGACAAAATCGATGAAAGGCCCGAGGTTCCTGCAATCGCCACAACTCCGATAAACTAGTCAAGATTCCTTTTGCCCTATCAGAGATAATACAAATATCTTCTCTATCTTTTATCACATGTAAACTCAATTTCCTAAAAAACCATTTCCATGCCTCTTTCGACTCTTTGTCAACAATACCAAACGCAAGAGGAAGAATGTTATCATTTCCGTCAACTCCAACAGCAATTAACAATTTTATCTCATATTTACCATACATATGAGTTCCATCTACTGAAATAACAGGACGACAAGTTTGGAACCCATCAATGCATGGCTTGAAAGCCCAAAATACAAACTTAAAAGTTTTTACCTCTGGTGAACTCATTGACTCTTCGTGTTTCCATTCCACAACTGTTCCAGGATTAAAGTATTGAAAAGCTGCAAAAAACTTAGGAAGCTCACTAAATGATTTCTGAAAATCACCATATACCAATGTAAATGCGCGTTGACGCCCAAGACACGCTTTTCTATATGTTACTTGATGACCAAATTTTTCATGAACCTTAGACATGACATCCACTACCAACAATTTTGGATTTTTACTTATTTGATTTAAAAATAGAGATGCAATTAAATTGGTATCTAAGTTAGTGTGACCTGTTGTAAGTCCTTCAGTCTCACATCTATGATTATTAAAATACTTTCCTATCTTCCAAAGGCTACCTCCAACCTTACGACCTCGAAGAAACCATGGACAACCCAAAGAATCATAAAATCTGCATCTCACAGTCCATACGCTCTTAGTTGATATTACAATCTTAAATTCTTTATTTTTGCGCAAACTCCAAATTGTCACAGCCCGTTTTAACTTAGTTTTACTACTAAAATACATATTTTTTTCTAAATCTTTTTTTGCATCCTCGACCCAAACAGAACAACATTTCATTTCGGATTCACGAGTAGAGATAAAAATATCTTCCTCAGTCTCCAATGTTGTAAAGTAAGGTATATCATTATTTTGCATTTCATCAAATTGATTTTGAAAATTCACCGCACTTTCATTTTGAGGTAAATCTCCAATATCTTCATCGGATTCACTTTCAATGACTTTACTCTCTCCATCATCTTCTGAAGGTTCATCCTCCTCCGAATTTTCATCACTTCTTTGAGCATGTGCATCATTACACAAATCAAAGGTAGCTTCATCTTCTCTGTAAAAAAAAATTCATGAAATACAAAAAAATGAAAATAATTAATTATTCATGCTATTAAATAAAATTAGCTAAAAAGATTATTCTACCTGATTTCATATTGATTGTGTATACTCTCAATATGTCTTTGACTACTCGAGCCTTCATCAAATGATTGATGAATACCATGTGTTGCAGTGTATGTAAAATGAGGCTGACTGAATGTGGCAAATCCATAATTTTGAGCCAATAAATTCATATGATAACCATGTTGATCATTCATTCGAAACAGATTATCTTGATTTATTGGTCTAATCTTTATATACATCTCCAAAAGATTTATATCAATCTTGTTCAAAAATTTCGGAGGAATGGCAAAAAATTGTACCAAAGATTGGTCATTCTCAATTTTGAACTCAATAAATCTTATAACGTTACCTTGAAATGAGCATGGATATTTTCCAGAAATATCCAATTGAATATTTTCTCCATCAGTCCCCATTTTCTCATGCAACAATTTAATTAATTCAACGTAGTTGGTCGAAATAGACATGCTAACAATCATTCTGGCACATTCGTTATATCGAAATCCGTTTATTTCAGTGATTATTTCACCGCCCCAATACAAAGCAATCATCACGTTATCTTCAAAATTAGCCATCAAAAAATCCTACACACAAGAATAAGATGCATTATAGTTATTAAAAATATGTTATAAGTACATTACAATATATTGACAAGCCATACCTATTGAAATTTTGTGAGTATTGATTCAACAATAGGGCATATACGCAGAAGCTTTGTAGAACATTATTTGAATGTGCTAAACGTTCTACACAACCATTTCTTATAATGTTCTGTGGCAACACTTTAAGAATTTATTTTAAAGTTAAAACGTAACATATAGTAACGTTTTATTGGACGATCAAATCAGCAAGAAATCTACACATACCCGTGACATGATAGAATCGTTACTTAGGGTAACATTTTAGTCTTAAAACGTGACTCCCAGTAACGATTTAACGTCACATTTTGTACAAAGATTCTCAGGTGGCAGACCTGTGATTTGATTTGATATAATCGTTACTCCAAGTAACGTTTTATATGTAAAACGTGACTTCCAGTAACGTCTTCGACGTCAAATTTCGTACAGAGATTCTAAGGTGGCAGGTGGCAGATTTACAAAGATACGTTACTGATGGTAACGTCTTAAGCTTAAAATGTTACTATCAGTAACGTAATGCTTCTTAACGCCGTCTACCAAATACTTTTAGTCTGTTTATTTTATGAAAATGAAATATAGCCTAATACGTTACTACCAACAACGTTTATACTACTTTTGTAAAATTTCAAAGTTTCATATTATTTTGGTGAATTAAATGAAATAATAGATTATTTTGGTCATAATCTCGATTATATTCTTATGTTATTAATTGTTATAATCCCTTGCGATCTAATCATTTAACCTGAATTGGTTTTCAGTACAATTGGAATTTCTATCTTTGATAGGATACTTTTTGAAATACAATACAAATAATATTCGTTGAATCTAATCTATTTTCTAAATCATTCATCATACCACGGTTGCTTCTTATGGATACTTTCATTTTTTTCCACCATAATTTCAGAATCCTACAACATCATCTAAAAATATGAAAAAATTACGTGGTTAAGCAAAATTATACTATTTAATTATTCATCATAGTTATAGTTTGCTATAACTTCCACTCGCGGCTAACATTATACATTAATTACGTGGACTGACTTCAAGTTTGTATAATTAGTCTCGTTTGTATATGTATAATTCTCCAGAATATACAATTACATATGTATAATATATAATTATCTAACTGATATACATATACAATTCATCTCTCTTCCCTCTCTTGCTCACCTATCTCTGCCCTCTCCCATTCTCACTCGTCCTTCTCCTCCCTCTCGCAATCTCTCTCGTCATATATACAAACGCATATGTATAATATACAATTATCTAACCAATATACATATACAATTCACGTCTCTCCCACTCTATGCCCTCTCTCGCTCGACTCTTACTCCCTTTCCCAATCTCGCTCGCCTCTCTCCTTCCTTACCAATCTCGCTTGCCTATCTCCTCCCTGTCCCAATCTGGTTTACCATATATACAAATACATATTTATAATATACAATTATCTAACAATATGCATATACTATTCACATCTCCCCACTCTCTACCCTCTCTGGCTCGCCTCTCTCCTCTCTCTCCCAATATTGCGCGTCTCTCTCCTCCCTATGAATTGTAGCTACGAATTGTAATTATCAAATTATATCTATGAAGCGTAATTATACTATTTTTGAGTGGTTATATGCAAAGTTCCTCAAAAAATATTTTTCTCCAGAAATTACAAAATTACAACCTACCCCGATAGGATTTACTTCAAAAATTTACTAGCTCCCGCTATTTTAGGTTATAAACCATTAATAAAGGAACTATAAGCTTAGGTGTCATTTGATAGAGTGTAAAAAATAATGGTAAATAAAGTGTATTAGTAGTGCTTGCATTAGTTATGTTTATATCTTGCATTAGTTATACATAAACTATTTTTTATGCATTATTTAGTTTGATGTAATAAAAATAGCATGTATCATTTGAAAATATTTATTTACCAAAATATCCTCCA